GTGGGGGGGAAGAGAAACCAGACTATGGGGAAGCTCCTGCAGTTAATACTGAATATTATCGCTGTTATTAAGTTGGCGTGCTTTGCTGGCCTCATTAACATGTTTTGTTCGTTGTTTGTTTCCTCTTCGTTCGAACATGGCTTGTTCGTTGTTTGTTTCCTCTTCTGCTGAGAATGATCGATTCGGAAGAGAAACGAGGGGTCTACGAGCCTCAGACGTGATTTTCTCTAATCTATCTCCCTTGTTGTTTACCCTCCAGCCCTAACACTCGAAAAAGTCCTTTAAACAAACAAACAAAACTGAAACAAAACACGGGCAATTAAGTGCGAAGGAAAATAATGGGTGTGGAGGTAGTGATTTGCTCCGGGGTAAAACAGTGATAACTGATGGATGTTTAAAATTTAAAACTAAGGAGTTACATGGAAAGAAAGGAACCCCCCCCCCTGCCTTAACGCTATAAGTAGATGCTTTTTATTGGCCCTGAACTCTATAATAAGAGGTTAAAGTAGTTGGTTCGTCTCTCGCCTAATTGCATAAGCCGTGTCTGCGTTACCAGGCTCGTATAGCGCTTTATTTTAATGAGCTGCGCTTTCTGCGTGGATGCAGTTCAACGTCCCCACCGTAGATACAGAACAAATGGGCTGTACAAGATAAAAATACCTTATAAATAAGATAAACTCGATCGAGGCTTTCCTGAGCCCTCTGCTCCTTTCCAGCGCGCCTCTGCCACACCTGTAAGGTCTAGGTTTCTCTTAAACCGTATTTATGCCCACGTAGGTCGGAAAAGACGGTGTCAATCACGGTATCAAAGACGGTTCAGACGAGCGGCGTCCCGCTTCTCCTCTCCTACACGCTCAGATCTCGGCCTGACAGAAAAGGCCTGAGAGCGGGGTTTGAATCCGATGGATTTCAAAACCGCTTGGTCTGAAATGTATGGAAATGAAGAAGGGCGGCTGGACGTGTCGGTGTTTGGGCCGCGTCTTTATTTTCTTTCTCGTACTTAGAAAAGTCCTGATGCGGTTGGATGTCGGGTGTGCGCTGGCCATTTTCAAA